TAATCAAGAGTATGTAAGCTTCAATTTGGTAATAGAATGACTGAGTGTCACAATTAGTTCAAGAGATATAGAGAGTTCCATTTTCCAAAACTTTAACCACATTTTCTGGTGTTTTTCTTTGTGGTGCTAATACGAAGTTTTGGCTCGCATAACTTCATACACAAACAAAAGATCTGTTGGTTTACAGGAGAATCCAGACCTAAAAATAGTAGTACAGTACTCGTGATACTTAATCCTTTGAACAATAATCCAATTGGGATGATATTTATAATCTGTTAATGTTTACAAACTTATAACACAGAACAATTATACATTACAGTATATTCACTGTACAGTAGTTCATTACTACAGTTACACCTACAGTACACTCATATGCCTCACAAGAAGGGCTTTCCTTTCAAAACTTTTACCACAATCTTCACTATTTTTTCTCACCAATAAAATAATAATAATAAACGGTTTATTAAGAGAGTTGCAGCCGGTGGCTGAAAATATACAAACCTACATGTGATTTAGACATAATAATATACGTTTAATACATCTACAGGGCTGTACAGAACATAAATCTGGAGCTGTTTATTATTTTAACAATAGATGGGATGGTGCTATTCATATATCTATCAGTGTGGGCTCTCATGGGCTGAATTTTGTTGTAGTGGCGGATTGCGCGAGGTGGGCGGGGGACTGCTGGTGGCAGTAGGTGGTGATGACGAGGATGGTGCAGTACTGCAGTAGTCCACTGCCAAACCCTGCTAGTACGTGGTGGTGGAGGTCATTGAGGGATGGCATTTCCAGGTAGGAGAGAGCATTGTTGTAGCCGGAGGAGTCTGCGCCGAGCATGATTCTGCAGGCCCTCTTCTGTACCTTCTCTAGCTGACGTTGTTGGGTAGAGTTGAGAGAAGACAACCAGACTGGTGACGCATACTTTAATTTTGGGAGAATAAATGAGTTGTAGATAGTCCTTAGCTCTGGCGTGGGTGCCCCAAATGACTTGAGTCGTCATTGCATGTAGAGTTGGTATGAGGCTGCCTTGATTGTGTTGGTTACATGGGCCTTCCAGCCCAGTTTGTGGTCTATAGTTACACCCACGAGTTGGGCAGACTGCACTAACTGGAGAGGATGGGCACCCACTGTAACTGCTGGAGCATGAACTGACGTGGTGGTGGTATAGAAGTGCATGACTATGCTTTTGGTGTGATTGATGGTGACCTTGTTCTCCGTAGTCCATTGCCTGTAGCCTGTCCAGGGTGCCTTATAGCGATGAGTAGTCCGATGAGGTGTTGTCCATTGTAACCCCCACAGTGCAGTCATCCACGTACTTCCACCAGTGAGGAATGTCCGATAGAGCGTAGTTCATCAGGATTAGGAAGCACAGTGGTCCCATCTTGGTTCTGTGGGGAACACCACAGGTGAGGTGTTGGAATGTGGAGAAAGAACCCTGCTACCTCACTGCCTGACGACGCTCACTCAGGAAATCAGTGAGCGATGAAACCAGGTTGGTGGGCAGCCCTGGTGCAATGGCCTTGTTAATAATAGTGCAGTGATCAACAAGGTCAAAAGCCTTCCTGAAGTCAACAAGGGCAACGGCCTGTGATGTCTTACGTTTCTCCAAGTTTTTGTGCAGAAAATCCAGGAAACTAACTAAGCAGTGCATAACCATATGTTGTTTCAGAATTTCACTGGTATAAAACACTATTTCCCCAACCTTCACACTTAAAATTTTTCTTACCAGTGAGCACAGTTGTAAATAGTACTGGACTTTGTTACTTAAGTGAGATTTTGGCAAAATGTAATTCAAGTAGAAGTAAAAGTATCCAAAGTTCAATATACTCAAGTAGAAGTACAAAAGTATCTCATCCATAAAGTACTCAAGTACTGAAAGTAAAAAGTAACAACAAAATTATTAATCTTCTCAAATATTCAACTAAATTCACAGTAAATTTAAAAAAACCCCTAATAAACTAATGATAAAAATAAGACACATAGCATTACACTTGTTTATTAGTCAATTCTTCTACTGAGATTAATCAATAATGGAGTCTCAATATTATGGCTGTCCAATCAATATCTTTTAGGCCTAAATATAAGCCCATCATGACTAAACAAATGTTCACAAGCAGGAGACGTGAAGAAACGTTTGTGATTGGTTAGCCTCCAAGTTTGTCCTGTGATAGGATATTTAAAACACTATTGTTTGGGGCATGTAAGAATGCAAGAATAGAAGAAACTGCAGTGGGCCCTTATATATCTGTCCAACCTATATTTGAAGCTACCCAGAGTGTTCCAGTTAATGATGAAGTTTGGTAAGTTATTCCACTCATCCAATACTGTACGATATTTCCGAACCAGTGTATACCTATATCTAAATTTGTCTAATTCAAAAAAATTGCTACGAGTTCGTTCCTGGTTGGATAGTTTGACTACCTTTGTTATATCACCTTTGTTTAACCTTGACTTCCATTTATACACCTCGATCGTATCGCCCCTCACTCTACATCTCTCAAGGGAGTGCAAATTAAGATGCTTGAACTTGTCTCTGTACTAAAGGTTCCTAATGCCCGGGATTAGTCTTGTCATTCTCCTCTGAATGCTTTTTAGGGATTCTATATCTATTCTGTAATACATTGACCAGAACTGAACTGAGTAATCCAAGTGAGGTCTCACAAGTGCAATACTGTATGTAGTTTTTGGATAACCTTGCTAATCTTGTAACTAACTCTCCTTTGTATGAACTCAAGTACTTTGTTAGCCGTGTTTAGAGAAAATACCCATTGTTTACTTGACTTAAGATTCCTACTTATCATAATTCCTAAATCTTTCTCACAGTCGGATTTGTCTAAAACAACGTTGTTCATCTGATATCTGGTTTCTCTGTTTACATCTCCTAGACTAAGTTCTTTACATTTGTCCACATTAAATTTCATCTGCCTGTAAATATATGTAAGAATTATAATTTTTTTATGCCACCATATATCAAATATGTAATGCCATTGTTCTGATTTATTATATCAACCCTTTTAATTAATATAAAGCTATAATATATATTAATGATAATTAAAGACTATTTATGAGTGCTATTTATTGATGTTATCAAGGGTAATATTTTATGATAAACAAGAATAATTAGAGTTACTTCACTTAAACTGTTATATAAAGTGTTATGTAGCACCGCATATATTTTGATTTAAAGGTAATTACAGTGGTCCCTTGGTTAACAAACGGTTCGGTTAACGAATTACCTTCCATAAGAATCTTCAATTCGGCTAATGAAAAAAAATTCGATTAACGAAATCCTTATGAACATCACGTTTTGTTGTGAGCATCAGCTGATGGGCTAGTCTGCCAATTCAGTACAGTAATTTGTTCTATGTTTACATTCATTTCCATTGGAGTAAATATCAATAAAGTTGTGCTCTTTAATATTTTTTCATTTTTTATATTAAAATTATTAGTCATTTTAAAATTTATTTAACATATTGATAACATATGCAGTACAGGGAACTAGATTTTTGTGCAGCCATCAGATGCTTGACTCGGCCACAAGGCATCAGTTGGGCTCTGTTGACAGAGGAGTGAACATCTAATTTGTTGATGTATTGAATATTTTTGCATTTTTCATTGAAATTATTGGTCATTCTGAAATTTAGTTAACATATTGATAATATATAGTGCAGTGCAGTGTTGATTTAAAGAAAATAATCTTGAATTACACCAAGTGAACTTAAAATTTTATCGGTGAAATGACGGCATCAAGCATGGGTCCCCTGAAAGGTGATTTCTCCTCCATCCTCACTTCCTTCTCTTCTCCCTTCTCCTCCACCCCCACTTCTAATTCCCATCATCATCATCAACCATGAACCTTCTACACACACACCTCAAAGTAAGTGTACTTTACTGCATTTTTTTTTTTACTTTGTACGTACACTGTATGTACTTTTCGGTGAGCTGGAACCAATTACCCAATATCCCATTGAAACAATGGATTCGGTTAACGAACGACCCCCTGGAAGGAATTGTGTTCGTTAACCGAGGGACCACTGTATCTTAACTGTTCAGAGGTAATTACCCTGCTTGTTCAATTAGTAGGGTTATATTCTATATAACTTTGTTCATATAGGTAATCCTTATTTAATGTTATATATATTAATTGATATAACGTATGTTGTAAATAAATCAGTGTAATTTTGTGTGGTAGTTAAGTAATATAGTGCCATAATTGAAGACAAGGTATCAGCACTGTGTTGGTCACTAACTCAGCCGGTGGAGACCTGGGCAGAAGCAGACGTGCCTGGCTGGTGTGACAGTTGGTCTGGACTCAGGATATTATTGTGGAGGTAAGTGGTGAATACTTTCTGTATTGTTCAAGGGCAAGTCAAGGCTGATGCTAGGGCTTAGGTTGATTTAGGCTGTGGCTCTCAATATTTCATTGTTTTTCCTTTACATGTCCCTTGTATATAATTCTTTAATTTTATTATACTGTACTAATTTATGCAGTGTATGATTTCTTCTCATTCTGAAACACATTTAGTTCAAGTTCATGAGGCTTATTATTAAGAACGTGAGGGAGGTGATACAAATTGTTATAAGGTTTACCCTGCTTATAGATGTGACCACTAGTGGCAGGGGTGTTTCTCAATGCTATCATGATCAAGCCTCACCTCTTATTCTGACAAGTGGCAGAATCTTGATGAAGAGGAGTGATGGCATAACAAAAGAATAATAAACTGAAGTTGGTAGCGTAACAATATTGTATTTAATTAATACTTTACTCGAGGTGGTAGCGTAACATGTGATAGTTTATTAATTTTTCTTAGATTACATGAAATAAGAAAGATTATAATTAATGGCTTATAATGATGGTATTGTTCATATATGGAAATAGGAGGAAATAATTCTTAATTGATTTTTATAATTACGTAATGAAAGACAATTTATTTGGCTAACGAGGGCGGACGGATTGTTGCTGGAGATATATCAATATAAGTTTACAATAGCAATTGTCATTGAATTTCATATAATTAACCATTTACAAAAAACTCAGCTGCACATATTAGTGATTTGGAGTCAGGGGATTGATGACGGAAGGTAGATTAGGGGCGACACAGGGAAGACATCAGTCGCCGTAATTTCCACTACAGTATCACTGTGGTCGCCGGTAACTCCTGCACTGACACCCAATTGATGAATGATGGTTTGACAGCGTTTGCAACCCGGTTTTCTATTCCCGGACTAATACCCTGTTAACAGATTAACATTAACGCTATACGGCTACTATAAAGAAAAAATTGCATCAAATTCTTTTAATTGTTTATCTAGATTAATTTTCCTTAAACATATTTAATTCTGGTATCAGGTGACCCACAAAGACGTTATAAAGGAAATTATTGGTGAAACATTTAAGGATTAGTAAAGATGTGAAAAGTAATTAAAGATTATTAAGGATAATTAAATTCTTATCAAGATGGCCATCTGAGTGACGTTTGCGCTTACAACACCGGCAAGCCGTTTTCTTGCGATTATTATGATTATAACACAATTTCACTTTAACACGGGTTCAATCACAATTCTAGGATGTCTTACAAATAGTATGGAGTAGTTTTCAATTAATACTAACCTCAAAGAGGGTGAGAATATGATGCTAGAATGAGTGATTGAGAGAGCGTAATGTTATGTCTGGTGGCGGTGCCTCTCTGTCTCTACATGGCCAGGGTTCCCCTCGTGTATTCAGGATTAATTATTAATCCTTTTCATGATTCATCTTTCATTTTACTTATTTCATATTAATAATTAATTTTAGTAATTTTATGATAGTTTTAAAGGTATTTTGATAATGGTTAAGAATATTATAATAACAAAGTTTTCTGTGATGGATTTTTGCTATAATACGCTAAATTTCAATGTATGAGCAAAAAGCTTAGTTCAACAATGTAAAATAAAATTCTTATTATTTATTGTATTAACATCTCAGGGGGCACTACTTGATTGGATGTACATACCTGAAGAAGTTAGATGCCCACCTCACAAGGGGTCACAGCTCAAGGTTGAAGTGAGAATTTTGAACACTTGGAGCAATCTGCCAGTGTTGTGAGGACACCGAGTGTGATCTCATTCAAGGCCAGACTTGACCAACACTGGGGTAGGTTCCGATATACAGTATTCAAGAGCCAGTGTATGCCCAGTACTTGCCAATAGTGCGTAACAGAGACGTTACCGACCGCCCAAGCAGCTAACGAGCTGATCAGTGGCAAAGAGGAAAAAGCAAAATATAAAATGAAAGCAAACACTTTTACCACACTCTTCATAAGTACAATTTGTCTCACCAGTGTGTACAATGTGTGTCTTCACTTTCTTTGTGGAAAAGCTATTACCACACGCTTCACAATAAATATTTTAACCAGTGTGCAGCATACACACATGTTGCTTCAGGTCACTCTTTCTGGAATAAATTTTTATCACACACTTCACACTTAAAATTTTTTTCACCAGTGTGCACACACCTAAGTCTCTTGAGACGATCCTTTATGGAATTTTTTTACCACTCTTCTCATTGTAAAGTTTCTCAATCAGTGTGTCTAACCAAATGCCTTTTCAGACTGTTCTTTACATAGAAACCTTTCCCACACTCTTCACACTTAAAGGGTTTCTCACCAGTGTGTACAACCAAATGCTTCTTCAGACTGTTTTTTGCATAGAAACCTTTCCCACACTCTTCACACTTAAAAGGTTTCTCACCAGTGTGTACAACCAAATGCTTCTTCAGACTGTTTTTTGCATAGAAACCTTTACCACACTCTTCACACTTAAAAGGTTTCTCACCAGTGTGTACAATCAAATGCTTCTTCAGACTGTTTTTTGCATAGTAACCTTTACCACACTCTTCACACTTAAAAGGTTTCTCACCAGTGTGTACAATCAAATGCTCCTTCAGACTGTTCTTTACATAGAAACCTTTGCCACACTCTTCACACTTAAAATTTTTTTCACCATTGTGTCTAAGCAAATGGTTTTTCAGAACTGCCCTTCTGGAAAAACCTTTCCCACACTCTTCACACTTAAAGGGTTTCTCACCAGTGTGTACAACCAAATGCTTCTTCAGACTGTTCTCTACATAGAAACCTTTGCCACACTCTTCACACTTAAAATTTTTTTCACCCGTGTGTCTAGGCAAATGATTTTTCAGAACTGCCCTTCCGGAAAAACCTTTCCCACACTCTTCACACTTAAAGGGTTTCTCACCAGTGTGTACAACCAAATGCTTCTTCAGACTGTTCTTTGTATAGAAACCTTTCCCACACTCTTCACACTTAAAAATTTTTTCACCCGTGTGTCTAGGCAAATGATTTTTCAGATCTTCCTTTCTGGAAAAACCTTTCCCACACTCTTCACACTTAAAGGGTTTCTCACCAGTGTGTACAACCAAATGCTTCTTCAGACTTTTCTCTACATAGAAACCTTTGCCACACTCTTCACACTTAAAAATTTTTTCACCCGTGTGTCTAGGCAAATGATTTTTCAGATCTTCCTTTCTGGAAAAACCTTTCCCACACTCTTCACACTTAAAGGGTTTCTCACCAGTGTGTACAACCAAATGCTTCTTCAGACTTTTCTCTACATAGAAACCTTTGCCACACTCTTCACACTTAAAAATTTTTTCACCCGTGTGTCTAGGCAAATGATTTTTCAGATCTTCCTTTCTGGAAAAACCTTTCCCACACTCTTCACACTTAAAGGGTTTCTCACCAGTGTGTACAACCAAATGCTTCTTCAGACTTTTCTCTACATAGAAACCTTTGCCACACTCTTCACACTTAAAAATTTTTTCACCCGTGTGTCTAGGCAAATGATTTTTCAGATCTTCCTTTCTGGAAAAACCTTTCCCACACTCTTCACACTTAAAGGGTTTCTCACCAGTGTGTACAACCAAATGCTTCTTCAGACTGTTCTTTGTATAGAAACCTTTCCCACACTCTTCACACTTAAAGGGTTTCTCACCAGTGTGTACAACCAAATGCTTCTTCAGACTGTTTTTTGCATAGAAACCTTTCCCACTCTCTTCACACTTAAAAGGTTTCTCACCAGTGTGTACAACCAAATGCTTCTTCAGACTCTTCTCTGTATAGAAACCTTTACCACACTCTTCACACTTAAAAGGTTTCTCACCTTTGTGTACAAGCATGTGTACCTTCAGCTCATTCTTTAGATAATAACCTTTGCCACACTCTTCACACTTAAAAAGTTTCTCATCAGTGTGTACAACCAAATGCTTCTTCAGACTATTCTTTGTGCAGAAACTTTTCCCACACTCTTCACACTTATAATGTTTCTCATTAGTGTGTATAAGCAAATGTTTGCTCAGATCGCTCTTTCTAGAAAATCTTTTACCACACTCTTCACACTTAGAAGTTTTCTTAGTGTGTATATCCCTGTGTTTCTTCAGATTACTCTTTCTGGAAATTTTTTTACCACACTCTTCGCACTTAAAAGGTTTCTCACCAGTGTGTATAAGCAAATGTTTCTTCAGATCGCCATATCTGGAAAAACTTTTCCTACACTCTTCACACTTATATTTTTTCTCTGCAGTGAGCATATCCAAATGCTGATTTACATGATTGTACTGTGAATAAATCCTTTTACCACACTCCAAATTGTTCTCAATGTGTACCATATGTTCCTTCAGCTGATTCTCTCTGTTATAACATTTACCAATTTCTTGGCATTTAACATTTTCCTGAGCAACAGTCACATGTTGTGTCTCATCAGAGTTACTGTTAAAACTTACATCAAATGCTTCACACTTGATATCTTTCTCAGCAACAGTCACATGTTGTGTCTCATCAGAGTTACTGTTAAAACTTACATCAAATGCTTCACACTTGATATCTTTCCCATCAACAGTCACATGTTGTGTCTCATCAGAGTTACTGTTATAACTTACATCAAATGCTTCACACTTGATATCTTTCTCAGCAAGCAGAGCCACATGTTGTGTTGTTTCACAGTTACTGTCAAAGCTTTCATCAACTTCTTCATATTTAATATCTATCACATCAGCGTGTTCAGTCATATAGGTATGCGTTTGTAAAGCATCATTACCACAATATACACACAGACACTTTCCCTCGTCATCATGTCTGGCCATTTGACCAACAAAATCAGCCATTTTTTACAAACTGTAATTTACAAAAGTTTGTACAAAATAATATTTCATCAATGGACAGACCATTGAGATATTATACTCAAAGTATAGAAACAATATAAATCCCAGTCGTCACAGGTAAATGGTTCCTATTCATAAGTCACCACATGTAGGTGGTTATGGAGGTTACTCTTGCACAAGGAAACCTTAACCAAAAGTTAACTTTATCTCAACAGTACACAAGCAGTGGAGACAAACACTTGCCACATTTATGTACTGTACTGTATTGGAACTTTCTCACCAGTGATCACAAGCATTAGTCACAAGGTCTTGTTTAAGGTAAAACATTACAATAATCATCATGTTGTATTTAAACAACATTTAACAGTGCAATATTTTCAGGAGAAAGATTCACTTGTGTGAACCTTCTTTTCATCCTCAGTTTCCAAGGATCACTAACTTGACTTTCATATTTGTAACTTATGATTTACACAGTTGACAATTAACATTAATCATGCTTACAAACTTCTCCTGAAGATACAGTATTCACTAATCCTCACACTGACTTATTGTACAGTTTTAAGGGACTGTTCTTGACCTGTTCTGCCTCCTGTTTTGTAGATTGTGGTGAGAGATGTCTGTGTGGGACGGCCTTCTGATGTCCCTTTGTTACATCCACCCTCTCCCACCTTTATGTCTGAAATATAATAGTTTTCGTATAGTTTGTATTCCTTGCACAAGCTGTACCTTACTCAGTATATACACCTACCTTAATTTTGTACATGTGGTGTGTATAATTGGCCCAATATATTCCAACACGGTGAAAATATATTCAGAAGCATAACTCATACACTTTAAATATCATACAGTATACTGTAGTACATTATTATTACTTCCCACTACAGCACAGATATCCTTCACTATATGAATGTTCACACTTTACATATTCTTTTACAGATATTCTATTTTAATTATATTAAACCTTTTCTTGCTAATACTAATGATGCCCCTTACTCAGCCCACCAGCCCTCACCACCTTCCCTGAAGTACTGTACCAAATTTACATTTTATTAATTTCATTATGTCTTAGGTACTAAATTTCATACAGTAGTTTGATACAGTCTGTTCTCTTATCACAAGTGTTTTCATTACACAAATTAGTTTTAACTCGGTGAATGCATTACAGAACTCATTTTTTACAGTGCTGATGCAATTGGGCAAACATAACTATATCAGAGAAGTATAGGTTGTGCAGCTGCTTCAGTGTAGCATCACGCAAGGTGGACACTGGTAGATACTGTACTGTTTGGGGTGGCAATTTGGTAATTAAAAATCTGTCTGGTAATGAATGAAAATTATTTGGTACAGTATTAACTGTGAATATATTCACAGTTAACATGTGTGATCATAGGGGTGAACTTGGAGGAGGGTAGTGTTGATATTGCTGCCTTTCATTACTTAAATATTACTTCACTGCAAACAATTTTATTGACCATACTTACTGTAAATAAAGGTAAGCTATTTGGCTAATTACAGTTTTCTTTAATATATAAAAAAATGTTTGACTGTACTGTTAATAAAAATCAAACAAATGGTGTTGAAACACTTCATTTGGTAATGAATTTTGAGGGATCTGTTAATGACAGGAAAATCAGCCTATAACCTCTTCTTTTTATAAATAATGAGGGTCGTATTGTTGGACTCAAAACCCATATGATGGATTTGGATTAATTTCTAATACCTTTCGAGTAGTGCTGGATTCTAAGTGTACCCTGTAGTGTATTGTATACAGTATTTATATACTGTACTTATTACTCTACTTTAATGAAGAGGACCGAGATAGGAGACATAACATTTTTCAATGGCATCCTTATCACGTAGTGTTCAGTGTCGTATCACAAGCAATCTGTGCTTGTAGAGGATGAAGATCGTCTACAAGAATTCATCTATGAACAATAACTAGTTGTCAAGACACACAAGTGTTCAAAATGTGGCAGAGAATTGACAGTGAAGAATAAATATGTTTCTGTGCAAGAACCGATCGTACTCTCATGTCCACAGGTAACTGTAAAATTACACCATGCTGCTTCAAGTTATTGTAGTTGCTTTCATTGGTACCAGATATTTAAGTAAGTTAATTCTGCCTAATATGCCAGGGGACCCAGGGATGGTTAGTATTATATACAGTGACCCCTCGGTTAACGAACCCAATCCGTTCCAGAAGGTCGTTCGTTAACCGAAAAGTTCGTTAACTGAAACCATTGTTTCAATGGGTTTTTGGGTAATTGGTTCCAGCTCACCGAAAATTTCCTAAATTCAACAAAAATGGTAGAAAAGTTCACTTACTTTGAGGTGTGTATGTAGAAGGCTCCTGGATGATGATGATGGGATTTAGAATGGGGGTGGAGGAGAAGGAAGAAGAGAAGGCATTGGGGTGGAAGAGAAGTCACCCCATGGCGCCATTTCACCCATAAAATTTTAGCTCTCTTGGTAAAATTCACGATTATTTTCTTTAAATCAACACTGCACTGCATTATATATTGTCAATATGAAAAATATATTTCAAAATGACCAATAATTTGCTTGGAAACACAGAAAAAAAAACGTTTAGTTGAAGAGAGTCTCAAGCAAGATGTTACCTCCAGTGAAAACAGAGAGAGAGACTAACGCCTGTTTGCTGTGTTAAGAGGCTGGATGCCGCGCATTAAACTAGTCACTTTACCTTCAATTATGTTCAATAATTGTTAAAATGACAAAAAAATTAAATATTAAACTTTTAAAATTTTTTGAATAGTATAAATTTCTTGATATTTACTAAAATAGTAAGGAATTTAAGCCCTAGAACCGATTAATGTATTGGCGGACTGATACTAAAGCTGGTTGCCCAGTCAGTGCAAGCGAAAACATGTTGAGGTCGGTTCGTAAGGCAGTTCGTTAACCGAAATTTCGTTAACCGAGGCGTTCGTTAAACGAGGGGTCACTGTATATTGGTCACCGATTTCAGTTTCTTTGTCAATGCATTTATAGTACCTGATCGATGCTCTTCTGTTTTCACTTTGTTTATATCTCAAGTACAGGTATTATGTTTAAGCACTTATAGCCGAGTCTCCTCCTCGTGTACCTCATGATAACAGCATTATGGTAGAAAGTATCTCTTTTTATCCTGCGTCATCGGGCAAAGATGATGGGATATATTAGCCTTGAGTGTACAACATGTAGCAGCGTACAACACATTATATAATGCGTATTTCAGGTGAGCTGTGAAGAAAAAACAGTGGCGACGAGCGGTAACGAGCCCCCGAGACGAGAACGTGCGTCTGGCACCAACCAAGTTTGGTGGCTCAGAGGTGGAAGAAATAGAGTTCTTCTTTTGAGTTTTACCTGATAGCCACAGGAGTCACGAAGGAGGAGCAGAAGCGCGCCTTATTGGTGCATGTTGCTGGACCTGAGGTGCCACAGAAGCCCTGAACAACTACTTTTCTCCGAAAATAAAAGTGAGGTACGAGAGATTTTGTTCAGGAAATGTACTCATAATCCCAATGAATCTGTTGATACTTTTGTCACCAAATTAAAAAAGTTAGCCTCTACTTGTCAATTTACTGATGTTGAGGATGTTATTATTGATCAGGTGATTGAAAAGTGTAATTCTCATGAGTTGAGGAAACGGTTGCCGCAGGAGAAAACCTAACATTAGATAAGATTTTGGGAATTGCCAGAGCATTAGAAGCAGCCAATTCTCAAGCTTAGACTATTGAGGGTAGATCACATAATGATTCACAGGTCAACAGAGTTTCAACCAGCACCAGTAGACAGCAAAAACCATGGCAAAAAGGTAGAAATATGAAAGCACAAGAGAAATTTAAGGGAAAACAATCTCCTAATATACATTTACAACAACATAGCTCATTCAGAGAATCTAAACCTAGACCTAGACAATGTTTCAGGTGTGGTAGAAAAGGTCAACATCCCAGTGATAGGGAAAAATGCCCAGCAACTGATAAGAAATGCCATAATTGTGGTCACAGAGGTCATTTCAATAACATGTGTAACTCTCGGAAAACAACTACCTTTTATCATGCAACTTGACACAACAGCAGATGTGTCAGTAATGTCTGAACAGACTGCATGTAAAATTCCTGATATATTTATAGAACCAAGCAACATAGTTCTAAGGGTTTATAACTGTCACAATATAGAAGTAATTGGTTCTACCAAGGTAAATGTTCAATGTGGCCAACAAACAGTAAAATACCTGCCCATCACCATTGTTAAAGGTCAGACATTGATGGGTTTAGATTGCTTGAAACATTTAACATTAAATTGGTCAAATATTTTTGTATGTTCTAAAGCAAGAGCAAAAGGCAGCCTTTCCTTTAAATGAGGAGTTATTTACTGATGGACTTGGTACAGTATACTGTGAAAAATGTTAAGGCTACTTTGGCACTGAAACCAGAAGCAACATGCAAATTTCTTGCTCCTAGTCCTATTCCTTATGCTTTAAAGACGTCAGTTGAACATGAAATTAAGAGGTAAGAAGCAGAAAAGACATGGAAAAGAGTAACCTACTCAGCTTGTGGTTCACCTTTAGTTCAGTAGCAAAAAAGGGTGGTGGTGTTTGATTATGTGGAAACTATAAGGTAACACTAAACCCTCAGTTACAAGTAGCACAACACCCTCTCCCTAACCCTCCAAATATGTTTGAAGCTTTAGGAGGATGTAAGATCTTTTAAAAAATTGACTTGGAACATGCATTTCAGCAGTTAGTCACGGATGATAAGTCACAGGAGTATTGCCCAATAAACACACATTTAGGACTTTTTTGCCCTAAAAGATTGCCATATGGTGTAGCTAGTAGTCCTGTAATATGGTAATAGACCATGGACAAAATATTCAATGGGTTACCTGGTGTATTTTGTTTTGTGGATGAAATTTTGGTAGTAGGAAAATATGAAAGAGAACATCAAGAAAGATTAACGGCAGTACTGAAACGTATCCAAGAAATTGAATTGAAAATTCACCAGAATAAGTGTCGGTTTCAAGTACCATCCATTGAATATTTAGGATTCATAATTGATAAACGAGGCATACATGAGACAAATGAGAAGGTTAGAGCAGTCCAGTCTGCAAAAGTGCCTGAGAATGTTAAAGAGCTACAATCTTTCTTGGGACTTGTAACATTTTATGGAAGATATGTTAAAGATTTAACTACAATTGGAAACCCCTTTTATCATTTACTGAATAAAGATGAACCATGGAACTGGTCAGAGGAATGTCAGCAGTCATTTGAGAAGATAAAAGCTGCAATAACTTCATCAAACTTTCTTACACATTTTGAAATGGATTTGCCAGTAAAGCTAGTACATGTATGTGACGCCTCACAAGTTGGATTAGGTGCAGTTCAAGCACATGTCATGCCTGAAGGTACTGAGAAACCAGCTGCATTTGCATCTCAATTCTTTAATAAAGCTGAGAGTAATTACTCACAGATTGAGAAAGAGGGCCTTGCACTTGTGTATAGTGTTAAGAAATTCCATATCTATTTGCATAGCAGGAAAGAATTTATGCTAGTGACTGATCACAAACCATTATTAGCAATTTTAGGTCCAGAATCAGGGTTACCCACTTTAGTGGCTGCAAGACTACAAAGATGGGCCATTACTTTGGCAGCTTACAATTACACACTGGAATACAGATCCACCAATAAGATGGGTAATGATGACGCACTGTCTCGCCTATCTGTGGACAGGGCTCCTGAAGGGCACGAGGCTTGTATTCTTTTGATAGAAAGTTACAACTTGCCCATTACAGCAATGAATATAGCACAGAGCACAAAGAAAGATCCTATACTCTCAAGGGAACTTTAATGCCTAGTTACGGGTTGGGACTCAATAATGACCCGGGAAGATTGTAAACCATATGTGGCAGTATGGCCAATACTTAGTGTAGAACAAGTATGTATATTATGTGGATCCAGAGTTGTTGTTCCTAAGCAACTTAGGGGACAGGTCCTTGCACAGCTGCATGCTGACCACCAAGGCATTGTCAGATCAAAGGCCATAGCTAGAACTTACGTATGGTGGCCAGATGATAAGGATATTGAAATGTATATTAAAAAATGTGAGACTTGTGCCATTCACCAGAGTAATCCTAAAGCAGTACGATTACATCCATGGGAATGCCCTAGATATGCTTAGCAGCGACTGCATATTGACTATGCTGGTCCATTCTTAGAATATTCTTACTAGATTATTTTTTTTTTTTCGGGAATTAGCCCACCCGGGCACAGGTCAAACGACCCACAACGGAGCCTTGGGGTTAAAAAAAGAACGGAAAGAAATTGTAAATATAGAAAAAAAGTTTATACTGTATTAATCTACACCACGAAGATGCCGAAAAACCAGCTTTTTAAAGTGAGACAGATTGTAAGAGCATGGAAACACAGAAGAAGGCAGAGCATTCCACAGTTTGACTGTGTGAGGAAAGAAGGAGGTACTATAACGGGTTATTCTCGTGTGACCGACATCCACGGAGAAACGGTGGGCACCACGGGCAAGACGTGTGTTGCGAACCCACGGCCTTGCCGGCGGTGCACAGGATGTCAAACCCACCGAACATTGTCCGTTAAAGTACCTGTAAAAGAGAGAGAGTGAAGCAACATTGCGGCGAACAGAAAGGGAAGAGAGATTGTCAACTAAAGGAGGAGAGTTAATAAGACGAAATGCCTTTGATTCCACCCTATCTAATAGTTGGACAGAAGAAGAGCCACCCCAGATATGAGAGCAGTACTCCAAGTTAGGACGAATGAATCCCTTATATACTTGGAGCAACTGGTCAGGAGTGAATTAGCTGCGGCATCTGTACAGCATTCCCAACTTTCGGGAGGCAGCTTTAGTTATACTAAGGACGTGTGATTTCCAGGACATATTGGAGGAAATGGTGAGGCCTAACATATTTATTTCAGAATTTGGGAGGATGATAGCATCCTGAAATGTAATTGGTAGGAGATCGTCTAATTTACAAAGTGTAATTGGTAAATATTGAGTTTTATTACTATTGAACTACAGTATTTATTTATTACTATTGGTTGATGCTTATAGTAAATGGCCTGAGATAATTCCCATGCAATCAACTATTTCACTCTCCACAATTAAAGCTTTGATGCAGATTTTTGCAACACTTGGCTTACCAGAGCGTATAGTATCTGACAATGGTCCTCAGTTTTGTTCCCAGAAATTCAAGAATTTTCTAAATGTAAATGGCATTCAACACACATTAACTGCACCATACCATCCTGCCACAAATGGGGAAGCACAAAGATTTATACAAACATTCAAACATAATATGAAATGTGGAAATGCCACTTTTGCCAATGTTCCTACTTGCATATGTAAGTTTCTCATGGCTTATCAGACTACTCTGCATGCAACTACGGGTATGACGCCTTCAATTTTGTTGATGGGAAGGAGGATTAAGACTAAGACTTAATGTTGCCCGATTTTCTGAGTGAACAACAGAACAAGGGGTGGAAACAATTGAAAAATCAGGGAAATATAAGGCAGTTTAAGACTTCATCTCCAGTAATGGTACACTCGTACACTACACCAGAAAAGTGGGGACCAGGAGAAATTACACGTGAAAATTGGGAATATGCATTATGATGTTAATGTCAATGGTAATGTTATGAGAAGACACATTGATCAGTTGAAGCCTTCTTGGGTAGACAAAAGATATAATCCTTGCACTTCTGGAGATCAAACCAATACAGAACAAATTCTTCACCCCAGCAATAAAGTCACAACCAAGGAGACTTTACCCACAACAAATGTAACAACAATGCCATTGCCCCAAAGTCCAGTTGCACACAGAGTACTTCCTGGTAGGGCAACCAGGGGATTAGCTCCTAATAGATTAGATTTGTAACGAAAACAGCATTTTCTTTCATTTAAGATCCTTAGATGTTCATTTTATTTTTGTATGCTCAGATGTTATATTTTCATATACAGTGCTACTCCAAAGTAACCATAGCACAAGATTTCTTTAGAGGAGGAAGGAAATTAATTATTTAAATTTTCTTTGTCAATGCATTTATAGTACATTTCCTTCTCTTCTCCCTTCTCCTCCACCCCCACTTCTAATTCCCATCATCATCATCATCATCAACCAGGAGCCTTGTACATACATACCTCAAAGTAAGTGTACTTTACTGCATTTTTTTTTTTACTTTGTATGTAATTTTCGGTGAGCTGGAACCAATTACCCAAAATCCCATTGAAACAATAGTTTCAGTTAACGAACAACCTTCTGGAACGAATTGTGTTCGTTAACCGAGGGACCACTGTAATTTCATTGACCAGTTTCACAATGGCCGTTGTGGAGGTTGGTTGTCGTTTGTGCTCCTATGATTATTTTAAGTTTATTGCCGAGTTTTACGAGACGATTATTCTATCCATTTCTTATGTATCCCTGGTCCTTCCACTTCTAACTAAGGTATTGTACTTTCGGACATAGTGCGCCTCAAAGTTTTTAACTACTGAAACATTTAGGTTCGTTTAAGCCCCGGCTAGGGGTCAGGTTAGGCCTACGGGGATCCAGGGGCAGAGCCCCCGGCTAGGAGTTAAGTTAGTTAGGTTAGGTTTTTTGGTAAAATTGCAAAAGTGCACACAACTTTGTTAGAAAGTAAAAAATATGTTTTTCTAGTGTATTTATGTGTATTTAGTTCGGTTGTGACCTTCATTTCCGCTGGGTATTGGCCCCCCCCCCCCCTTTTTTTTGGTGGGGCATTTTCCAACAAATTATGGCTAAGCGAATACAAAATACACACAAAAAAAAACTCTAGAAAAACATAAACCTAACCTAACTGACTCTCACCATATGATGGAATCACTTATTTCTTACCTTATTGGCCTGGTTCTGGTTCGTCGTTGGATTCGGACGCTGATTCTCGCTTAACGGGGGTATAGAGACCTAAAATAAAATTAGAATTTGATTGAGCCAAAAATGTCAAGAATTAAACCACAAATCATTTTAATTGGTGGCCAAAAAAAAAAAAAAAAGCTTTTGATTGGCCACGTGACATGTACGGGAACACATGTGAGTGATGATTTATGAAGGAGATACGCAGTGTGGGAGGTGAGGTAGGACAAAAATGGCGGAAGATTTATGGAAGAAAATAAGAGAAAATTTTGGATACGCTATCTCCGTTATTATACATTTGCGACGGTAATGTAATAAAAGAAAATTATCTTATAATTAGACATCTTATTCGAGTATGATAATAGATTAAGGGTAGGAATGTTGTGTAAAGAAATGCAATAATACCGTTTTTGTTAGGTCAGACTTGTGTTCGTTTTCTCTCCCACCCAAAAACCCTGAGTTCCCAGGCTCTCCCCCAGTACTGTTGGGGGGGCCAAAAAATAGCAATTTCCGCCAAAATTTAAGGTCAGATTCATATTGGTCAACCCCTAGGAATGACCTAGAGTAAAAAAATTACCGAGGACTTTGGCTGGCAACTGTACATACAGTGCAGTGTAAGTATACAATGAACAGATAGTGTAGCAGCACATATTGTGAAGGTACACAAGAAGGGCGAGGTTTACCTAATCTCTCTCAATAAACAAAGTAATGAGTAAACCCACCTGATGTAGTCAGTGAGAAGATAATGTTACCGTAGTAGGGTTGTCATAGGTCCGTATTTTCCTGGACATATCCTCCATTTAGGTTTCGAAATCTTCTCCCGGAAGTAATTTTTAAAATTCTTCAAAAGTCCGGAATTTCAGCTTCCATCATTTTCTCCACGGAAAAAAACATAAAACTGTAATGACGAGAGAGAGAAAGATTGTGAGAGAGGGGAGGTGGAAACCGTAGATATCTCCTTCAGTTTTCGTCAGCTGATAGGTCACGTGTACGCCTGTACGGTGTTGTCAACTTAGCTGCTAGCAGTTTTTGGGCTAGCTTGTACTGTAGTGCCATGTACTGTAGTGCCATGTACTGCTTTTCCTTGTTCTTCAGCCACGCGCATTATTATATATATTTTTTTATTTAGTGCTGTTACAGCCATAAATGAAATGTTGAAAGTATACCATTTTTTTCTTGTCTTTTTACACTGTAGCATTTGTTTTTCTTGTCCTGCATTTAAGGCATTTTAGCAATTTTCAACCATAATCAAGCCACTTTCGCTATATTAATTACGTGTGTCGACAACTGTGACCGGTGGTTGGCCAGTCTTTAACCTGCAGTGACAGTGTTTGATCTTAGTCTTTGTTGTGGGTTTGTCGCTTGTTGCCACAGCTAGTGCTTACGATTTGTTGTACTTTTTCAGAGCATAAAACAGTCACGGCTGCATCAAGGCCTGGGGGCAGGATGTCTTCTGGAACGTTCTCTTTTTTTTAATGTTCAGATATGGCATCCCTAAATTGTTACGCAAAGTCATCACTTGTTGTTTATTAGCACTGTTAGTTGCTTGCTGCACCAAACACCATCGGAATGAGAATTAAAAACTCTTTACGTCAATCTGACACAGTGTTATGACTGTGTAGTGGATACCTCCCCTACAAACGCTGTTTGTCGCTGAATAGCCGACCCCTCGAATTCCCCAGTGTATGCCTCGTGGTCTAGGTCAACCAGCGCCGCCTTACATGACGGAGGTCAACTATTAAGCCGCGCCTACCTCCGCTATATAAGACTTGACCTCGTGGTGACCGCTCTCTTTCGACCACGCTGCCACTTCCCAGCACCAAGCTGCACTGTACATCCAATATATCACGTATACAGAGAGCGCATTGTGAGTTTCCTTTCTCCATCCCATCCTGAGTGCGAACCAATAAGTACCCCACAAATGGTGACCCCCGTAGATTCGCACTCACACAGGATGGAGGAGAAACAGATCACGCTCCCAGTCTTCAAGCAACATGGAAGACTGGCTTATCCACCGAGAAGCAGCTCTCATCGGCTCTACAGCTACTGTCTCTACACTGCAGGTTAGACATCCTAGAGCAGCACTGCTTCTCTAAGCAGACACCAGCTCCTCTTCCTGCCCCAATCACCACGTCCTACCGACCTCAGCACACCCTTCCTTCCTTAGACGCCGCCCCTGGCCCAACAGTACCCCCTGCCGCTCCTCTTGATGCAGCCCCTGCTCCCGACGCGGCCCATGCGCCTCAGTGCGGACCCACACACTCCTCTTTTCTCCCTCAGGTACTCCCTGCTACTGTCCTGCACCCTGCTGCTGTCGTGGACCCAGCTGCTGTCACGAGCCTTCATCCACTTCTGCTGACGCAGCCCCTGCTCCTAACCCAGGCCCACACACCCCAGCAGGCGCATCTGAAGACTCTGTACCAGCCGTGAGGGAAGCACAACATTCATCGCCTCCACACACCCTTTTTCTCCCTCTGTACTCCCACAGATATTGTGTATCTAGACAGTTGTCTCCTCTAGCGGCCGGCTCATCCACGCCCTCGCCGTTATGGCTCACATGTGGCATGCACCGCCCGTTCTGCCTCACAGGTGCCATGCAACCCTGCAGACAACAAGTCTCCTACACCGCCTGGAGGGAAGGGGGGAGTACTGTAGTGGATACCTCCCCTACAAACGCTGTTTGTTGCTGAGTAGCCGACCCCGCGAATTCCCCAGTGTATGCCTCGAGGTTTAGGTCAACCAGCGTCGCCTTACATGACGGAGGTCAACTATTAAGCCACGCCTACCTCCGCTATATAAGACCTGACCTCGTGGTGACCTTCCTCTCTCTTTCTACCTACACCAACCAGCAAGCAACACCACCTTCCCCGCTTCTGCCTGGCGGTCCTCGCTCCCGCCGGCAAGCATGGCGACCCACAGGCTGGTCCTCCTCTGAGCGTCCTCACCAACCAGCTCTCTCTACATCACGCTTGTAACCATGCTGCCTTCCCAGCACCAAGCTGCATTGTACATCCAATACAACATATATACAGAGAGCACATTGTGAGTTTCCTTTCTCCATCCCATCCTGAGTGTGAACCCAAACATCACGTACCCCACAACGGCGTAAACGTGGAAACGCGTAAAGTGGGACAGCGTAAAGCGAGGGTTGACTGTATAGAGATGTTCAAGATGTTACTCTTTCCAACAAGGGCCTCCTTTTTCCCATTACAGTAGTTGTTTCATCACTTTCCTTTGCGATATCCGAAACAGCTTTAGAGAAATTTTTTTGATAGTCCATAATATAGAATTTCTTATTCTTGTTACTTCACATAGTACTGTGGTTCTGTCAAGTGGTGTAACGACCACGGTCATACACGTCAGTTAACGCCAAAATCAAATGATTCATATTACGCTCAATAGCCCACAAAACATGTGACTCTGCTTTTATTTTGAGTCCTCCATCTGAGGAGTCCGTTTTCTCATCACTTCAAGACGCCTCGGTCCTCCGTTATTCCCATTTTCTCTGACTTACTGAAACCAACCTCTCTATAAAATGAATTTGAATGTGAGAGGGAACACCCTTGTTTTGAGTCAACTTAGATATGTCTGTTTACAGTTGGAACATTCAAGATCCATTGTGAGTGGTGTTGAACGCTTCAACTGTCCTTATGGTTAATAAGACGTGTCAAGTAAGTGAGTGTTGAGTCTGCCAGGACAAACGATACCCATCGGTTTCGTTCCCTAAGAATGACCATGAGTTTCTGATCGCTACTGAAGTTGTAGTATTTTGTCGCCCCGACATCAGAGAATCTGATGTTTATAGTTTAGTTAGTGTCAGTTAGTGTCTCTGACACTCCCAGGTACACCTCTGACACTCCCAGGTACACTTCCGATACTCCCAGGTACACCTTTGGCTCTCCCAGGTATACCTCAGGCACTCCCAGGTACACCTCTGACACTCCCAGGTACACCTCCGACACTCCCAGGTACACCTTCGACACTCCCAGGTACACCCCTGACACTCCCAGGTACACCTCTGACACTCCCAGGTACACCCCAGACACTCCCAGGCACACCTCTGACACTCCCAGGTACACCTCTGACACTCCCAGGTACACCTCCGATACTCCCAGGGACACCTCTGACACTCCCAGGTACTCCTCTGACCTCCCTGGTTCACCTCTGGAAACCCCAGGTACACCACTGACACTCCCAGGTACACCTCCACACTCCCAGGTACACCTTGACACTCCCAGGTACACCTCTGACACTTCCAGGTACACCACTGACACTCCCAGGTACACCTCTCACACTCCCAGGTACACCTCCAACTCTCCCAGGTACTCCCCTGACACTCCCAGGTACCAATGACACTCCCAGGTACACCGCTGACACTCCCAGGTGCACCTCTGACACTCCAGGCACACCTCTGACACTCGCAGGCACACCTCAGACACTCCCAGGTACGCCGCTGACACTCCCAGGTACACCTCTGACACTCCCAGGTAAACCTCCGATACTCCCAGGTACACCTCTGACACTGCCATTTACACCACTGACACTCCCAGGTGCACCTCCGGCACTCCCAGGTACACCTCCGACACTCCCAGGTACACCTCTGACACCCCCAGGTACACCTCTGACACTGCCAGGTACACCTCTGACACTCCGTGGTTCACCTCTGACACTCCCAGGTACACCTCTGACACTCCCAGGTACACCTCTGACACTCCCAGGTACACCTCCGACACTCCCAGGTACACCTCTGACACTCCTAGGTACTCCTCTGACACTCCCTGGTACACCTCTGACATTCCCAGGATCTTCTGAATTTTGCCTAAAAAGCTGTGATTTACAGTTTTCCCATTAGAGGGATGAATTTGTTTCTCTGAAAGTATTATCAGAGTTTAATTCTTTGAATATCCCAGTGATTTCTTACCACCACCACCATAAAGCTCATGTACAAACCTAAGAGTTCCCACCACTTCCCTTTGCAAAAATCCTTTTCACCATTATCATCAATGTCTTTCAGGCAAACCTCAATATGCTATCTTACTGACAAATTGATGGGTAAACCTGTTTTTAAGAGTCAAAGGGGCTTAAATAAATTTTCAAGACCATAAAAAGCAAATGTGTACTTTAGAAACACTTTTTAAAATGTTGGTATTTGAGGTTTGACTGCAGATGTTGTGAAAGAGGGCAGCAATAAAATTTAGCTGCTTACAGACCTAATGCAATGTGCTATTTTCAGCCTTTTTATAGTCTATATACAATGATAATTTTCTTACTGTTGCATATGTTAAGTCACGGGTAATTCAGTTCTGGAGCTATTTTACTTTATGATATGACATCCTACAATTCATTTTATATAGGCCTATAATTTAAAAAGTATCCCATATGTTTAAGTAACATCACACTTGCTTACATGTACAATTTTCAAGCCACAAATGACAACACAGGATATCTGAAGAGTTCATAAACAAAGAATTCCTTTGGGCTGAAAGTTAGCAAATGTATTTCACATACTAGCATTATAAAATCCTCAACTCCCCATCCTTGGTGATTGGTCCTTTCTCAAATCAATAAGATATCTTTGCATCATGAATTTTGCTCATGAGTTGTGTGTTGCCACAGTGCATGTGCCTTTTCTTAATAAGCAAGGAAAAGGATTCCTCTTTATCATTTTTTAGATGGTTTAGTAAATTCATTTATTCCATCAAAGACTAAAAGACATTTTCTCTACATCTATATTTCATTATTTAAAACTCTTTTGATATTGTCACTCTTGTATTTGTGAAAAACATGTATGTCAGCATGGCGCAAGGGTATTTTGTAAAATTCTTACCAATTATTTGCCAATAAGCATTCTCTTCACCCTGCTCTGTATTTTATCATCCCATTCTCATTATATTACAGTAGCCTCTTGTTAATATAAT